CCGAAGGTGGCCCCGGGGCTGCCGCTGTGGCCCACGCCAAGCCCGGGGGGCCGGGGTCGCCAAGGACCCCGCTCAGTACCTGTTGAAACTCGGGAAAGTAACGTCCCGGGGCAGGGCACTTCGGGGCGAGGGCCCCAGGCTGGCGCGTAGGCCGTGCGGGAGCAAAGGGTCCTTAGAGGCCACTCTCAACCCGGGGCCCGCAGGGGTCAGAGGCGGGAGCGTCCCGGTAACCTCTGCCCCAGGCGGGGGCCGGCCTCTCACGTCACGTGAGGGAAAATACCGTAACCAACAACGGAGGAAAGGCAGTCTAGTCTCCGGCCGCAAGGGGAGAAGTGGGGCAAAGAGACCCAGCAAGGGGCGCGAGAGGAGAGACGGGGTCAGGGGACCGCTCGTACCCGGCGCCGACGCTCTCTGCTTCCGCCGCCTCCGCGGAGCTCCTGCTCTTCCGCTCGCGCCGCAGAGGCGCGCGCCAGGCCCCGGCTCCGCCCCCCGGCGGCGCGGGGCCTTCTGGGAGTTGTAGTCTCCCGAAGGTCCGGCCTCGCCGGCGGCGTCCCGGTCACGTGGCTGGAGGGGCTGGCAAAATAGCGCGGGGCTTAAGGTGTTGACGCTCCCGAGGTGCTTTCCATAGGGCGGGCGCCACCACGCCCTCCCCCAGGTGCTTTCAATCCGCCGTCGGAGAGAAATATGCCCAGATCTCTCCCCAGGCCACTCAGTCATGCCGGCTCTCTTTTCACAGCCAAGTTTCTTAAACCAGGTCGTCTATATACGAAGCCTCTCCTTCCTCACTTGGGTTCACTCCACTCTGCACTGCAGCTTCTGCCCCCAAGGGAAAGGTCCCTGTGATCATCATTGTCCTTGTTGCCAAACTCACTGGACTTATTTGCAAGCTTAGTTACCTGACGCTGTTAGACGTCGTCACATCCTTCCTATGACTATCCAGGTTTTCCTTCTTTTTCCCAATCCATTCTACTCAGTTTCCTTCCCTTTTTTAAAATTTAATTTTTATTTGTTTATTTTAATTTGACTAGAAGGAGAGAGAGAGAGAGAGAACGTGAGAAAGCAAGCCACCAGGTCCAGGACTCAAACTTCCGTCAGCCTTGTGGGAGTCCAGCGTCCTTAATCACATCACCTGCTGGCTGCAGTTTCCTTCCCTTTTATTGGTACTGTCCAGAGTTCTTGATATTGGGTTGGGAGAGGGGAGACTCCAGCCCCTTTTTTCCTGAGCTCATTGTATTCCCGACTTCCTAAAGACCTGTTCACACCATCTCAAATGTATAGTACAGTTGTAGTTTGGTATGAAATCTGTGGATGCTCACGTCCCTTGTATGAAATGACCTCGTGCTCGAATATAACTTACATGTGTCCTCCTATATACTTTAAATCACCTCTAGGTTATAATGCCTAATGTAATCCAGATGCTATGTAAATAGTTTCACCATATTGTTTAGGAAATAATGGGAAAAACATCTACACATGTTCAGTACAAATGTAGCCATTGTAGGCCTAACTACATGGTACACTTCAGCCACATTGCAACTCTTTTTTTTGAGAATTTTGCTGTAGGGCGTGTGCACTAGCAGGAGAGACAGAACAGACAGAATGCAAGAAATTACCACCACCCCACCCCCAGAGAGGATGGCCATGCTGCAATCCCTTCTCCAATTTCTTCCTGGGATTTCGGGCACGCATGCACATACATGTTTCAAGCCTCTGGTCCCAGCCACGTGGGAACCCAACACCTTAACCACTATGCCACCTGCTGGCCCATGGTGGAACTTTTTTGATCCTCCTTGATTGTGTGGATGGGAAATGGTGTTTATGGAGGGCTGACTACTAGCAATACTACTACCTTCCTCCCTACCCACTAGTACTCGTTCTCCCCTTCATCCTCAGTTATCCCCTCTTTCTCTTCTACCCATATTCAAGTAGTTACCAAACTTTATAGATGATGTCTCCTGAGTATCTTTTGAGTCTGTTTCCGCTTCACACCCACTGCCAGTGATTTAATTCCCACCTACATCATTTCTTAGCTGATTGCTGCCTGGCTTCCTTATTGATATCAGAACTCTGTAGGGTCCTACCTAGCTCTCAGGCCCATTTATGTGAACAAATTTAACCAAGTCATATTTACAGTAAAGTCCTTTAAAGGCTCCATTTGACTGAGTCTGGGAGAGGGAATGGGGGTGAATACCCTGGGTAGCTTATACAAAATAGGAATGGCAGTCCTACTGCTCTCCTTCCTCATCGATATTCTGTTCGGGTGGTCCAGAGGAGGAAGACTTACGTCAAATCTTATTGAGGGCTAGGTGGGCAAGGGCATTGTTAAAAACTTCTCCAGGAGATGCAATCATTCAGCAAGAATGTATTTTGTTGCCTACTGGGTACCAGTGCTGGGTACTGAGAAAATAATCGTCCGTAGAACGGGCCCCGTCCTGGTGGAGTCCTCATTCTTTTGGAATCGACAGATATTAATCAAACTATCCCATATTGTGTGTGTGTGTGTGTATACACACATACCAGTTACCAGAACTATGAGGGGAAGTAATCAGCCCCTTTCCTTCTCTCTCCACCAGGTTGGAAATCTGTTTTGTTCGTCAGTCGAAAAAGCAAAGCCTGTGAGGAACTGATCTCCCTCTTCCACCTACACTCATCTAGATTTACTAAACTGTGGGATAGCACCCGCTCTCTCACCTTTGCACCTGTCTCTCTATCTGGAAAAATCCTCCCCCTTCACAAACTTCTTCCCTAATTCTCTTCTGTGAGAAGCCAGTCGAACACCAGAGAGGTGTTCTGAGGACGGGGCCAGGTCAGGCGATAGCCCCCAGGCAAGCATCAGTGGGCTGAGCAGGGGAGCCAGACACAGCTGAATGTGGGCTACCAGGAACAAGGTAGCATTAGCCAGTTTCGAGGTATCAGATCTGAGCCAACAAATCCATTCTTCGAAATACAGATCAAGTGTCACCTCCTCCAGGAAGTCTTTGCTAGCACCCACCCCAAGTGAACGAATATCCCTTTCCTAGACACATGCACTGAGTTCCAGTGATACTGGGTCGTTGAAAAAGTCATGATGCACTTTTGCATAGAAAAGCATGAAAAAATATGTCATGACTTTTCCAATAAATGACCCAATACATTAGCGCCAACTCAGACCAGTTTGAAGAGCCAACAGCTAAATATTCAGGAATTTTGCAAGTCAGGTTTTTTAAATTATTTTATTTAACTTTATTTTTATTTTATTTGTTTAGTTTAATTTGACCAAAGAAGGATAGAGTGAGAGAGAGAGAGAGGGAAGCAAAAAAGCAAGTCACTAGGTCTGGGACTTGAACCATGATCAGCCGTGTGGAAGCCCAACACCCTTAACCACTATGCCACCTGCCGGCCCCACAAGTCAATTTTTAAACCATTGGTTGTTTGAGATCAGTGTGATGGAAATCAATACATGAAAATCAGGACTTTAGGGGGGCTGGGGGCAGGGAACCAGCTTACTGTCACATCACGGGCTTTGTCATACCACTTATCTCTGCATTGTACTGTAATGGCCTCACCCCTCTTCGATGAACTCTTTGCATCAAGTGCATTTAGCAAATATCTATTGATGCTATTTGCTATGCAACAGAGACTTAGCAAGCTGCTGAACTGCGAATGGGGTATACAGTGGAGAACAAATAAACATGGCTCCTACTGTCATGGGACTGACATTCTAGCAGAAAGTAAAGCAAGAACTGCATACTTTCAGACCGGCTTGGGCTGCAGTGCACTGGAACATCACAGCGATGAATAGTGGTAAGGATAGAAGGCTATGCTGCTTTAACAAGATGGTCCCAGAAGTCTTCTCTGAGGAGCTAAGTTTCTTACTGAACCCTGAAGGATGAGAAAGCGATAGTGAAGGAGAGAGCCAGGAAAGCATTCCGACCAGAGGGATCAGACCACACATAGAGCCAAGCTGTTTGAGATCAGGATGGTCATTTGTTAGGGTGGAGAGAGTAAGAACTGATTGATCTGGAGATCATGAGGAGGTAATTAGGGACAGGTATGCACAGTCTTG